AGTAGTAGTAGAAGTAGTAGGTAGTAGTAGTAGTAGTAGTAGTAGTAGTAGTAGTAGTAGTAGTAGTAGTCGTAGTACTGGGGAGGCCACCCCCCTCGGACCCCAAACCATGCCCAGTTTTCGGGCCCAAAATAAGGGGACACGTTCCAGTTCAATGGGAAGCGTGGCGGGCATGCCCCTTCGGGTCTAGCTTTAGCTTTGGCCTTCGCTTTTGGCGGCATGGCACCTCAAAGGACAACCATGCCAGAACAATCGTACTCCGCAGGATAGTGTTATAAGTGCCCGACGAAAGCTCTTGCAGGTGCTCTCGTCAGGGCTTTCACGAAGCTGCGTGGCTGCCAACGCCATTTGACGCATCATTTGCAGTCATCCGCCCTTCGCTGAGTCACACCCCCGCCTCAATTACTCGCCAACGCACCCGCGTGAGAGAGTTTTACACGCCATTTAGCCGGGCTTGTGAAAACTCCATTCGGAACGGAAACATGCAGATCGTAACGTGCTTTGCGCCCTTCAATGCTCAAGCACCGAAGAGAAATCGAAAGTACATCCGGGAAGACCCAGCACGGATGGCATTGCAAGCTCTGCTTAAGCAACTGCTGCATGCTGGGAACAATTACTGTATGTGGCCGTCGGCCGACAAACTCCCGCATTGAACGGCCGCGCGCACGTTATGTTCGTACCGTGCGTGCTGCCAAAAATACACCACCCCAGATCCGCGTACCGAGTGTTGACTTTCAAGAAAACCCCAGATCCACGCACCGAGCATTGACTTTCAAGAAAACCCCAGATCCACGTACCGATCGTTGACTTTCAACAAAACCCTAAATCCACGTACCGTGCATTGACTTCTTTCGACACCTCCCCAGATCCACGTACCGAGCATTGACTTCAAACCAAACCCAGGCCCACGTACCGAGCGTTGACTTTCAACACCACCCCATATCCACGTACCGAGCGTTGATTTTCAACACCACCCCAGATCCAATCGCACGTACCGAGTGTTGACTTTCAACACCACCCCAGATCCACGTACCGAGTGTTGACTTTCAACAAAAACCCCAGATCCACGTACCGAGCATTGACTTTCAACAAAACCCCAGATCCACGTACCGAGCGTTGACGTTCAACAAAAGCCCAGATCCACGTACCGAGCGTTGACTTTCAACAAAACCGCAGATCCACGTACCGAGCGTTGACTTCTTTCGACACCTCCCCAGATCCACGTACCGAGCATTGACGTCAAACCAAAGCCAGACGCACGTACCGAGTGTTGACTTTCAACACCACCCCATATCCACGTACCGAGCGTTGATTTTCAACACCACCCCAGATCCACGTACCCAGTGTTGACTGTCAACAACACCGCAGATCCACGTACCGAGCGTTGACTTGCAACACCACCCCAGATCTACGTACCGAGCGTTTATCTTCAAAACGTACCGTGCGTTGACGTCTTTCGACACCTCCCCAATCCACGTACCGAGTGTTGAATTCAAACGCACCCCAGACGCGCGTACCGAGTGTCGACTTTCAAAACACCACCCCAGATCCACGTACCGAGTGTTGACTTTCAGAAAAATCCCAGATCCACATTCCGAGCATTGACTTTCAGCTTCTGGTTTCCCCAAGCAGCAGTGCAGTGTTAGCATCAGCATTAGCAGCAGCAGCAGCAGCA